TAGCCAAGACTAATGGATGCATGGCTCATAAAAGGTTACCTGCAGGTGTGTTGACAGAATAGAAAGTAAATGCTCTGATTCTCTATGTTCAGTTTACTCCCCTTGCCTCAAACTGCTTTTTGAGCAGATGGAGGTGTTGTAAAAGCCTTTATTTACATCTTGGGGATGTAACCAATAACAACTCCATGCTAAGTAACATTTTTATCAGAGGACAAACGAAGGGAAATAAAATAAAAGTTGGCTGATGCTCGGTGAAACAGAATTTTTTCTCAGGTTATCCTGCTGTTAAAAAAGAAATAAAATAAAAATCAAAGTTCTGCCACCAGTGAAAGTGTGTTTTTCCAGGTCCCCTGGCTGTCTACTACTTTGCAGGAATTAATTATCTGCAAATAATTTTTGGGTGTCTGTGCTGTACTATGGGCTGGTGGCGTAATCATGTAATAATTCCTTATGACTAGATTTTCTATATAATTTTGTATATTGAAGTGCACATGTTAAGTGCAGTTTGAAAGAAGAAATATAAAATATGATAAAAATAAATGTTTGTGTTTATTTGATTCCTATTCAAGACACTTAAGATAAGATAAGAATAAGATAAGAATAACTATAGTGTTATTATAGGCGGCTACAGATTTTTTTTTACATTTTTGGTTGGTGGTGTGCCTTGTGATTTTTTCAAGGAAAAAATGTACCTTGGGTCAAAAAAGGTTGAAAAACACTGGTTTACTGTATCCTGTGTAAAACACAAAGCAGCTTACAGTCTTTTCTCTTCTTCCTCAGATCTGGAATGACTACAAACTGCGATGGATGCCGGCCGAGTTCGACGGGATCGAGTTCATCAGAGTCCCGTCCAACAAGATCTGGAGGCCTGACATCGTGCTCTACAACAAGTGAGACTTAATCTTCCTAGTCCGGTCACTTCAGTCTAGCTGGTGCCTCCATTACTGTCAGCGTTTTTGTTTATTATCAGTACGACGTCCAAGTTGTAAAATGAAGAACAAAATATGGTAATGAGCTTACAAAGGCCCATTTTCTCCTCGGAAAATGTACGGGAGGCTGGTTAATTAACTCATTGACTGGCAGCCATTTTCAGAACAGAGGGTCCCATACTGCCAGAGTTTTTTAAGCATTTTGACTGATTTTTCAAGAGCCACAGAATAGTTTGTGATATGACTATGTAAACACCGAACACACCAAAAGAAAGAGTAGACTCTCTTCTTTCACCAGGAAAAAAAATTGTTTCTACCTTATTCCGGTCTTCCTGGACTTGCGTCTCACCGGCGACATGTTCTCTCATAGAACCGTTACCTTTTTCTTATTTGCCTACAATCTATGCTCATCTCCCATCAAAAGTGGCACTGCCCCCTAGAGGGTCAATTTGTTACTACATATTCTGTCTAGAAGCCTGATATTTACGGACAAGCTTTAGCAGATCGTCCCCCAGCCACTCGCGTTGAAAAACATAAAAGACGTCTATAGACGTCTTTGACAGCCAATGAGTTAAGCATCTTGTGTCCTAATGTTGTTTTTTTTCAACTGAGAAAAACAAAACAAATCTTCTCCTGCATTTTGAAGTCCCTCTCCAGGCATCGATGGAGCCCTTAAGTTAATCAGAATAGCATATTTATGATTATTTTCCTGTCAAAATAATCCCTTTGTGCATTGAAATGGCTTAAACGACTTTCTACACCTTTGCTTATTTGGAATGTAGGATCCATGAAAATGCTAATTATACCCCCCCCCTCCTGCTGCATATGAAAACAAGCCGTTCCCCAAACATTTTCTGCTTTAGTGGAGAAAACTCTGCATCAACAACCAGTAGAAATTTGTGTAGAAAAAAAAAATCTGCTCTACTTCAATTATGTACAGTATTTGGCTCTTTTCCACCTGATCTTTGAGATTCATCCGTCTGCTCGATTATCGTCTCGGTTTCTCTTGCAGGTTTTTTATTAAGTGACTCTAACATCCCACACATACTACTAATGCCTTATTAAATGTTAGATTTGTAACATTAACTTAAAACCAATCATAATCATGTATTTGATGAATGAATGCTGCTCAGTTTGACGGTGAAATAATCTCTTTTCACATCATCTAATGCATATTATGTTGGACTGATTTGTTCCATGTATTCAGAATAATTAGTTTCTTTTAATAATTTCAAACTGGGGAATTTGTATTTCATAATGATGTAATAAATAGATGATTCCCTGTCTTTTCACTCTGAAGGCTTTTGGTTTTTTCCTTAACCCAACCTTTTTAATCTTCTCCATTTCTTCTTTACCTCATTGTTATTTTCTCCTCACCTGTTGTTGTCTCATATTTCTGCCCACGCTTGGAACATCCCCTCTGTACCTTTTCCACCTTTTGGAAACTGGACTGATTGTACATGCAGTGCTGTGGGCGACTTCCTGGTGGAGGATAAGACGAAGGCCTTGCTAAAGTTTGATGGTACAATCACCTGGGTCCCTCCGGCCATTTTCAAATCTTCATGTCCAATGGATATCACTTACTTCCCATTTGACTATCAGAACTGCTCCATGAAGTTTGGTTCCTGGACCTATGATAAAGCCAAGATTGACCTGGTCCTTATTGGATCTAAGGTCAGTGTTTTTAACGTATCTGATGAAGCGTTTAACCTAAAAATTCAGAATGTTTCTGTTCTATCCAGCTAAATGTAACACGTGTGCTCAGAAAGATTCTTGATTTTAGCTTTTTAAATCCACATGTGAAATTCAGTTTAACCCTTTAAAGCCTGACCCAAGAATAAAACAAAACAGGCAATTACTTTTTTTTTGTTTGAAGTCTTTATTTGGCCTTTTAACAAAATATGTCAAAAGAAACAACAGAAATACATTTTTAATAATAATGATTTATTACTATGCGATAAGTCAAGATTATTTTTGTGTAGTCTTCTGGCCCCTGTTATCAGGTGTATCTGATTGTGTACAATAGGATTTTGAGCAAAGTTTTTACCATTAAATTATGCAGAAGATGTCAGACGCAAAACATTTCAGAAACAGTATCAAATATGATACATTTGGCATTACAGGGTTAACTGTAATGGAAATGTTTGCTGGAGGAGGAAATATTTGAGTGGTTATTTTCATGTAAAATCTTTGAAGGAGACATCCACAAGGTAGCTGGGAAATCTGCATGTACAGTCAGATATGTAGTTTTCTGTCAGTGCAGAAAGTCCATGTGCTTTTGAAATGTGTATTTTTGAAGAAATTCACTTAATCTGAAGTGAATTTCTGGACGGCAAACATATTGCATCCTTCAGTAACAGTTCCTCAAACCTTGATGGATTCAGCCCAGAGATTCCTCCAGAACATCCGAACCCGTCAACAATCACAGCGGAATATTTTGACATCTTTCTTCTGCGAGGCATCAAGACAGATATTTAAGCTCTCAGATTTACTCAGCTTCCACACGTATTGATTTTTTTTTTATCGTCAGCTGTGGAAAATAGTCATAAACTGTCTGTCACTACTCCACCGATTAACTGGCTGGATTTTAAACACACTTTGGTGGGAAATCACTGTAGCAGCTTAAGTGCCATTGAGCAGATCTGAGGCATTGCCCAAAGGAAAAATTGAGGTAGAAAACTACTTTTTTGGACCAAAAAATGTCTGTCTTTCTCTTGTATGCAGCTTCTTTAAGTGGTCCGTGCTCCTATTGTATAAGCCAGCATCTATATTGTTACTTCCTGTCTTCATCTCCTACAAATGCAGTGGGTGCCTCAGTAAAACTTAGAAGGGGTGAATGTTGGGACAGTTTGTTTTATGTCTAATGGCCTAAAGGATTTGCTGGGAATGAAAATGATTTGCTTTATTCATGGCTGCATTTGAACATACAGATCCAGGCGTTTTGATTAGATTTACACCTTCAGTCACATTAAAAATCAAGCCATGTAGTTAATATTTATTAAATTAACGGACAAGATCTATTTAACCCTTTAAAGCCTGATCCAAGAATAAAACAAAACAGAAAATTCTTTTTTTTTGGTTTGAATTCCTTATTTGGCCTTTTAACGAAATATGTAAAAAGAAAAAACAGAAACACATTTTTGATATTAATAATTTATTACTATGCGATAAGTCAAGATTATCTTTCGTGTAGTCTTCTGCCTCCTGTTATCAGGTGTATCTGATTGTGTACAATAGGATTTTGAGCAAAGTTTTTACCATTAAATTATGCAAAAGGTGTCAAACTCAAAACATTCAGAAACTGTACCTATAAAATATGATACATTTGGCATTATAGGGTTAAATATCAAGCCATGTAGTTGATATGTATTAGATTAACAGACAAGATCTATCTAAACATGCTGAATTGACCACTAAGTGGTCCATCCTTTGAATTCGTTTCCCCGTTTTCCAGGTGAACCTCAAAGACTTCTGGGAAAGCGGCGAGTGGGAAATCATCGACGCTCCCGGCTACAAACACGATATCAAATACAACTGCTGTGAGGAGATCTACCCGGACATCACCTACTCCTTTTACATCAGGCGTCTGCCACTCTTCTACACCGTCAACCTCATCATCCCCTGCCTCCTCATCTCTTTCCTCACAGTGCTGGTCTTCTATCTCCCGTCCGACTGCGGAGAGAAGGTCACGCTCTGTATCTCCGTCCTGCTCTCCCTCACTGTCTTCCTGCTGGTCATCACCGAGACCATCCCCTCCACCTCGCTGGTCATCCCGCTCATCGGAGAGTACCTGCTCTTCACCATGATCTTCGTCACGCTCAGCATCGTCATCACGGTGTTCGTCCTGAACGTGCACTACCGCACGCCGATGACCCACACCATGCCCTGCTGGGTGCGCTCCGTGTTCCTCAAAGCCCTGCCCAGGATCATGCTGATGCGGAGGCCGATGGAGGAGGACAGCAGGGGGCTGGACAGCAGTGGGGAGGCAGGAGGAGCAGGAGGGGGAGGAGGAGGGGGAGGAGGAGGCGGAGGAGGAGGGAAGGCAGGGAGGAGGCGGCAGAACAGCCTGATGCAGGTAAGAGGTCTCGGTTATTTATTTTTTTTATTTAATTTTTTTTTGTTTTTTTATTTTATTTTATTTATTTTATTTATTTTATTTATTTTATTTATTTTATTTATTTTTCAATCCATTTTATTTATTTTATTTATTTTATTCATTTATTTTTTATTCTCATTCTTTTTAAATTATTTTTTAAATTCATCTATTTATTTATTTATTCATTCATTCATTTATTTATTTATTTCTAAAAAATTTCTCAAATATCAGACATTAAGAACAATTATCCCCTATCTATCTATCTATCTATCTATCTATCTATCTATCTATCTATCTATCTATCTATCTATCTATCTATCTATCTATTTAAGTCTTTTGTTTATCCTTTTATGTGCATCTTGAAGTGTGAAACTAGAAAAATGATCAACTAAAAGCCTCAGAACAGCTCACTTTTTCAAACATTTCTTCCAATCCCCACTGATTCACTCCTCCATAGAAGCAGATATTTATCCCCTTTGGATTTAGTTTTCTCCACAACAAAACAAAGCAAAGCAAACAACAGGAGCAGCAACACAACCAAGAGCAGCCCATGTCTCAGATTATTCCTCATTTTTATGAAGTGTAGTTCTGATTTTAGAGGCATTCAAAGACAGCACAGAAAAGCGTAAAATATACTAAGATACAACAGAAAAACTCCCCAAGTTAGTCCTAATTTTGCTTTCTAAGTGCTTGATGAATTACTTTTTTAGTTCTGATGAGCTAAATATAAAGAAAAAACAAGCCTTTTTGATCTCACTTAAAATTTAACCAGAAAGAACGTGTATCTTTTATTTTTCTTTGCTCGGCACTAATTAACTTTTTCATTTAGTAATGTCAAAAACTTCTTTACTGAGTTCTTAGGACAACCCTGAGATTACATAGTCCTTATATGCATTCCCTCTTCTTTTAAATTTAAACAAAGTAACCCATTTATATATGCACTTCTGGATAAACCACATTAATCATTAAACAAAAATGTTTTTTCTCTTCAAATCAGGATCAAGATCTGCGCTCCAGTTGTGATTTATCTGTGAAATAAACTGAATGAATGATCAAATTATGTCCAAGTTTAGGTTGGATTTGTGTCCCCAGCAGGTTGTAGGAGGGTCCCTGAACTGTCTGGAGTTTGGGGACAGTAAGTTCTCCTCCGTTGAGGGCTGTAGTGCAAAGAAGTGTCCCTGTGTGTGTCCGCATGGGCGGGAGGCCCCGGAGGAAACGGGGAATATTTCCCGGCAGATGAGTTCCCAGGCCGTCAGCACGGTGGTGGCCTTCTCCGTGGTGTCTCCCGAAGTCAAACAAGCTATCGAGAGCGTCAAATACATCGCCGAGAACATGAGGAGTCGGAATAAGGCCAAAGAGGTGGGCGGCTATCTTAACTGTGATTCTATGTGGGGTTCATTACAGTTTATGCTAAGAGCCACTTTTAAAATGTCCGCCAAAACACACACGCCTGTGTGTTTAGTCGAGAATAGATGTTAAAGGAGACACATTATACCCTATTTCAACAAGTTAAGCTAGTTCCCTGGTGTCCTAATGTAATGTCTGTGACAAGCTTTGGTCAGAATCCCATAAGGATGAAGCCCAATAGCAGTTCAGTCCCCCTGCCTAACCCTAACCCTAACCCTAACCCTAACCCTAACCCAAAACAGCCCCGTTCAGAGCGCCCGCTTTGGAGTGCCTGTCTCTTTAAATGCAAATGAGACACAGGTAATCCACCCACTTCTTCAGGGAGGTGTGCCCACCTCGGCACGCCAACGCTACCACGCTAATGCTACCATGCTAACGCTACCACGCTAACGCCACCATGCTAACGCTACCATGCTAACGCTCACGCTACCACCACGTCTCCACAGAGGGGGGGGGGCAACATGCAGGTGAAAGGCTGGAATATTATAATGAGCTAGAGCTAATGACGTCAGAAACTACCCACTCCTGAAACCTCCTGATTTATCTCCTGGATTCAGACTGAGGCAGCCCACAAAAACATGACTGAGTCTTTTTTTTTCACACTTTGCCTGCTGATAGGCCCTCCACAGTCCCAAATGTACACAATCAAATGATTAAAACTTGGTTTTGCATAATATGTCCCCTTTAAAATGTCCTCCAAAACACTCACACTCCTGTGTGTTTAGTCGAGAATAGATGTTAAGAGCGATTTATTTTATTGGTTTCCAAGCCAATTACTCCTTTATTATAATAGCCATTATTTATATTGATTATATGCATTACGTTTTTCTATTTTTTTCTGGTATTACCAGTAACTTTTTCAGTTATATTTGAGTTTTTCAGCTATTCTACAGGCATTGAAACCGCAGTGTTTACTCGGTATGCACACAGTACAGTCAAGTTTGGCTTTTTGGAAGGAAATTGAAGATGATCTTTGCAAACTATGTCATGTAGGAGGCAGAATCTACCAGAATCTATCAGCCCAGAGTGTAAACAGGAGGCAGGCGTCTGATGCATAATGCATCTGTGCTGAATCAGCACAAATAAAAAACAGCTCTGACCAGCTGTGGAGTCACTCTGAGCTGGAACCTGCTTCATCCAATAACAGTATAAGTTAAAACTGAGAGCTCTCTATCCTCTTTCTGTCGGTTGTAAATAAAGTGGGGAAATCTCCCAAAGGGAAGAACGGACTCTTTGAAATGCAAAACTTCTGGCTCTATCGGCTTTGTCAAAATCCCGGTCGCTTGTTTTGACACTCGAGTTTGAATGTGATTATCATAGTAATTTTCTCCATGTGTAAATTATGTGGACATTTTCTGTTTATCTATGAAAAAATGTTTGTATCCCACCTCCCTAATTACAGTCAGGGTCACCTGTAACTTTTCACTTTTCATTTCTAACCACTGACGTTGTTCTTATAGGGGACATATTGTGCAAAACCAAGTTTTTAATAATTTGATTATGTAGATTTGGGACTGGGGAGGGCCTATCAGCAGGCAAAGTGTGAAAAAAATGACTGGGTCATGTTTTTGTGGGCCGCCTCAGTCTGAATCCAGGAGATAAATCAGGAGGTTTCAGGAGTGGGTAGTTTCTGACGTCATTAGCTCTAGCTCATTATAATATTCCAGCCTTTCACCTGCATGTTGCCCCTCCCCCTCAGCTTACTCCCCTATCTGTGGAGACGTCCTGGTAGCGTGAGCGTTAGCATGGTAGCGTTAGCATGGTAGCATTAGCATGGTAGCGTTAGCATGGTAGCATTAGCATGGTAGCATTAGCATGGTAGCGTTAGCGTGCCGACGTGGGCACACCTCCCTGAAGAAGTGGGTGGATTGCCTGTGTCTCATTTGCATTTAAAGAGACAGGCACTCCAAAGCGAGCGCTCTGAACAGGGCTGTTTTGGGTTAGGGTTAGGGTTAGGGTTAGGCAGGGGGACTGAACTGCTATTGGGCTTCATCCTTATGGGGTTTTGACCAAAGCTTGTCACAAACATCACATTAGGACACCAGGGAACTAGCTTAACTTGTTGAAATAGGGCATAATATATCTCCTTTAAATCCATCACAATTTTTTCCTGTTTTCCTTGCTCACAGGTGGAAGACGACTGGAAGTACGTTGCCATGGTGATCGACAGGATCTTCCTCTGGGTGTTTGTGACCGTGTGCGTCCTGGGTACGGTGGGCCTGTTCCTACAGCCTCTCTTCGGCTTCGTCTCCTAACCGCCAACCCTGAGATGACCGTTAATTTCAGAAGATAGAGATCCGAGTCCTAAAGCTCTGCCGGGTGTCAAGTTTGCATCGGATAGTAATAAAGTTTCTATCTAAAGAGGCATTTTAGTTTGCAGAATTCTACACGCTACCTTTATAATCGGGGTGTTGCCGTCCTACTGAAGTTGAATTGAAATGTGAGTTGGAGATAGACCTGCTGGATGAAAAATATGATAAATATTCATCCTTTATAGGACTGGAAATCCTCTTTTAGAAAGGACTGGGACCTTTGTTCATGTTGGGAATTCCCTTTGAAAAGTAATGTAGCCCCAAATGAATTCTTCTGATCTGGACCTGGACAGTTGGCTAAACCAAAAAATTACTTTTTTTTATTTATTTATTTATTTATTTATTTATTCATTTATTTATTAATTAATTAATTAATTTATTTATTTATTTATTTATTTATTTATTTATTTATTTATTTATTTATTTATTTATTTATTTATTTGAATAGGGACAAAGCACATTAATGAACATCAGTATAAAAACAAATGTAAATATGCCGGATTATAGCTACAAAGCTAGTTTTTTTCATCCGTAGTCCCTAGGCAGGCAAATACACAAGAAAGAACATATAATATACAATATAAGCATCACAAGGAAATGTTAAGAGTTTAGTGAGAGTAAACACTTAACAAAGCCTCACATTAGGCAATTGGCTCTGAGCAAATTTACAATTTGGCCTTTTCTTCTTGTCCCTGAGACATTCAGCTCCACTATGATGGGCGAGGGCGTCCCCATATGTCACATTTAAGCATATCAGCAAAAAGCCAATAAGGCTGGTCGTTACAGCGTGGCAAATGTTGCACATTCTGCAGTTCTTTGGGACTAGACCTTTTATATTTAACTTATTTTAGTAAAACTGGAAAATTCTGAAGCACAGGTTGTTCCTCTTCATGATTAATCAAGTCTAAACTAAAGAGGGCTATTTGCAAATAGGGGCTGTTTTTCTTTTCTAATTAAAAACCATACATTTCTATTTGTTTCTCTGATTAATTTTCCACCATGTAATTGGTTGGCCTGGTAAATACTGGATTAAAATATTGTTGATTAGAAGCTCCTGAAATAGGATTGTATTTATTTATTCATAAAAGGACTTTATCATCCAATTCCATGGTTGTTAATATGAGCTTTTTCTTGTCGAGTCACATGTGATTAGGTTTTTTATTGAGGGCGTTCCTTCGATTGAGAGCTGGGTGTTGCATTCAATTCATCATTATTGTCATTAATGGTGATTAATTCAGTTGAAACTTTTAAATCTCTACATTTTAAAGTCAGGGCAGAGCCACAAAAAGGCCAATACTGAAAGCACAACATAAGTATAAGAAAAACAAAAATATAAGAATACCATCCATAGGCGGTGATTTTTGTTGTGCTTTTAAACATATGTAACTATTAATTGTGTAAGTTTAAAAAATAAATGAACAAAGATCAAGATTTTCTGTCTTTTCTAATGTTGCCTCGTCTCATTTCTAACTCACTCTGATTAACTCATGTAAAATATTTAAGTTGTTTCTTTTCCATTTGATGTATTTGAACGGCGCACACATTTGTGTACATTACATATGTCTTTATCCTGTCTTTGAATTGAAAATAAAAGCAGTTTTTCTTTGTACTGGTTGGGGTTTTTCATGCATGTGCACACAAACAAACGCACACAGAATAAAAGAACGGCGTTGTTGAAAGAAGGATTGCGTTGATATTTGCGAGC